GGCTGGCAGTTTGCTGACAGCTCCTGCTGTCCCCTCTGCTCGGTGCTGGGGGTGGTTTTTAAGCCAAGCTTTGTGTCCCAGCCCCTCGGGAGGAGGTCGCCTACGTGACCTGCACCTACAGATCCACCTGCATCGACCAGCCTGATTTCCTGGCCACCGTGGACCTGAACCCCAGGTCTCCCTGCTATGGCCAGGTACCTGCTCCTCTCTGCTTTTACTGGGTTGATGACTTGCTGCTGGCTCTGTGTGACAGGCCTGTGACATTTCCTCTGTTCCACTGCTTTGCTCTGGTCCAGCACAGCAGCACCTGCTGGAATTAGGGTTCCCATTTTTCCCCACCTCCCGGGCTCCCCCTGGGCTGCCAGCTGTGCCATGGGCATTCCCTGCCTCTGGGGGCTGCCACAACACTCTCTCTCCCTTTTTCCTCCCTCCCCCTAACTCTGCCTTGGCCGCCTTAGGTGATCCACCGGCTGCCCATGCCCAACCTCAAGGACGAGCTGCACTCCTCGGGGTGGAGCTCTGGCTGCGGCTGCTTTGACAATGGCACCACGAAAAGGAACAAGCTGGTCCTGCCCTGTCTGATTTCCTCCCGCATCTACGTGGTGGATGTGGGCTCCCAGTGCCGGGCCCCCAAGCTGTGCAAGGTAATGCCAGGGGGGGCACTGCCAGCCTCCTGGCAGGGAGTTGGGAACTGGCGCTCTCTGGGACGGGGCCTGGGCACCGAGGGCTCTTCCTCCTCAGCTTCTCTCTCAGCCTGGCTCTGCGGAGCCGCCCCCGTTTTCCTCTCGGCTCTGTCCTTGCCGCTGCCAGGGGGGCTCCCCCCGGCCCCGGGTCCCTTCCTCTGTGCCCAAAGGAACCCCCGGGACTCCCCAGCGCCCCCCTGACCCCCCCAAAGAGCAGGATGGGGGGCACAGGAGCTGCTCTGAGCTGGGGGTTGTTGCTGGAGGGGCAGCTCAGGGGGTTTCTGTGCCCTCCCCAGGGAGGAGCAGCCCCAGCCGGGGGGGGCTGTGGGGGGAGAACTCCTGGAGCAGCACCCAGGGATGTGGAGAGCCTGGGGTGACCAAAGGCCCTGCCAGGGGGAGAGTCCAGAGGCTGCACTGGACACCCTGGGGGTGTTTTCCAGGCCCTGGGGGTGTTTTCCAAGCCCTGGGGGCTCCTGGGCTGGTGTGGAAGGAGCCGAAGCAGCCGGGGCTGAAGTGGGGGGGTGTGTGTGTGTCTGTCCCGCAGATGATCGAGCCGGTGGACGTGTTCTGGAAGTGCAACAAGGGCTACCTGGCCGTGACCCACAGCCTGCCCAACGGGGACGTGCTGATCGCCAACATGGGAGACCCCGCGGGCAACGGCAAAGGTAGCTGGGGCCGCCCCCACCCCCCCGGGGGGCACCCCTGTCCCAACCAGCCCGGGCTGCAGCGCTGCCACCCCCCCTCGTGTGTCCCCAGGTGGCTTCGTGGTGCTGGACGGGGAGACCTTCGAGCTGAAGGGCAACTGGGAGAACGAGTGCGAAGCCCCCCCGACGGGCTACGACTTCTGGTACCAAGCGCGGCACAACGTGCTGGTCAGCTCTGCCGGGATGGTGCCCAAACGGGCGGGACGGGGCTTCAACCCCGATGACCTGAAGAAAGGTGCGTGCCCGGGGCTGGCAGTGCCGGGGCGGCGCTGCCCGAGGGCCGGGGGGGTGTTTGGGGGCTCCCTGTGGGGGTCCCTTTGCCCCGCAGAGCCCCCTGGGGCGGGCACGGCCCGGGCACGGGCGGCCTCTCCCGCGGCTCCCGCGGGGTTTGCCCGTCCCTGCCGCCCTGCAGCGTCCTGGGGGGGGCTGGGGGGGGCCCCTGCCCCTCTGCTGAGCCCCCCCTGTGCCGCCCCTCAGGGGTCTTCGGGCGCCGCCTGAACGTGTGGAACTTGTCGTGCCGCAGCCTCACCCAGTGCTTCGACCTGGGCGAGGACTCGCTGCCCATCAGCGTCAAATTCCTGCACAACCCCGACGCCGCCGAGGGCTACGTGGCCTGTGCCCTC